AACCAATAGTAAAAATTTTTGAATCCCACCATTTGTGGGAACCCATCACTAAAATACATTAAATGAAGCCAAATTAAATTATGGCTTAGCATAATGTATGAAGCTTATTAATATTTTAATATGAGTTTTCAATTAAACATTTTTGAACATTTTATCAGAACTTTTCTACATTTGCACAAGGCTTTTTTTTAAATCTCAAAAGTGCAGATTGTGATGGTTGTGCATGAATGCAACCTCCTTTGAGCTATTTTCTGCATAAACTCTTGTACATATTGGCTGGATTCAAACATTTTAATTTGCTAGGTTAACTGGATAGGTTACTAGCTGGGATCACCCCAAATATTAAACCAAACAAACCATATTTAACATTTAATGTCTTGTGCAAGGAGTTTTTCTCTCTCCAGAAACACTTCTTATATGATTCAAATAGGAAGCTGTAGCCAATAAAAAGGCTGGTATTAAAATATAATACCTATTAAAATACACACACACATACTGTATATATATTAAATTTTCCTTCCTCTCAAATTGCAGCTCAGTGAAAGAAAAGTTCCTCTGTGTGTGTGTAGAAATCAAAAGTGAAAGCCCACATTTTAAAAATAAATCTAGTCCAATGGAAGATGACAACTCCATGGGAAAATGTGTCTTGGAAGCAAACTGCTCCATTTGTGGGGAAAATTTTAAGGACCCCATAATTCCTGACTGCGGGCACATTTTCTGCCAAGATTGTATTATGAAATGCTGGAAAGAATCTTCATCAGAACTTGCTTGCCCTCAGTGCAAGCATATCGGCCAAAACAAGCCACTGGAAAATGTGGTCGGATTACTCAAGCAACTAAGAGCTCAAGCAGAAGGAGACACCAAATGTTGTCAGAAACATCAGGAGCGTTTGGAGCTGTTCTGTAAGAATGACCAGGTCTTTGTCTGTTCAGTGTGTCGTGGATCTGAGGAGCACCGGGATCACACTGTCATCCCTATTGAAACAGCTGGTCTGGAGTTCAAGGTGCGGACTTTCCATTTATACTAGTGTTGGAATAAATATCTAGGTCCAGGTNGAAAATAAGGGCGAGACGCTATTGGACAGCGCTGTTATCCATTTTACCCAATCAGGATCGATCAACACTGTCCCCCCCTCTTCTCTCCCTCAAAGGGCGGGGACAGATTAAAAACAATGCCCCTTACGAAAGGAAAGGCGAGGCGCCATTGGACAGTGCTGTCATCCAGTTTACCCAATCAGGATTGAGCAACACTCCCCTCCCCTCTCACACAGGGCGGGTGACAGATTAAAAACAATGCCCCTTAGGAAAAGAAAGACGAGGCGCCATTGGACAGTGCTTCCGCCCATCTGGCCCAATCGGGATTGAGCAGCACTCTCCTCTCTCACAGGGCAGGTGACATTAAATACATAGTCGAGGCGCAAAGGCTCTCGGGAGTTTTAATTCAACAGGGAGGGGGGAATTGGGCGCCTCGTCTATGAAAGGCAGGCTGAAGGTGTTTCGCGGGACTTTCGGTTTTTCTGGGTGGGATTTAGTTCCTATCGATTGCAGACCCACGTTGTTAAGTTTGCCTCTCTGCCTTTCACTGGACTTGCTTCGGGCTTTGCGGGGTAAGCTAGGGATGGATTCGGCAGTCCTTCCCTTTCCCTCCCTTATTCTACTTTGGGAAAAAATGATAACTGTAAATAGGCGGATAGTTTAACTTAAATACACCAGCTACAAAAATTGCCTGACCTGATTTAACAGTGTGTAAAACAATATACAGTCACTGAAAAAAATCTTTTGACCAGCCACATGCTTCCAATATCCCGCTACAGGGAAAATATCTGAACAAATGATGGAAATTAAAGTCTGGAAGGTCCCCACAGAATTTTGCTATTAATGGCAATGCATTAACTATGTATTTTAAAAAATTAAACCTTCCTGCAAGCAGTTCCGTTGCATCTGGACTGGTAAAATACAAAGGATTTAAAGCTATTTTTTAATCTTAATATGCTTGCCCTTCCTCTCGGTGAGAATTGTCTTCCTTCTGGATAATATTGTATCAAGCTCACTTTTGTATTTCTTTTTTAGATGAAAACTTTCCCCTTTCTAAAAGTAAGCTTGATGCTAGATTGTGGTGTGTCTAATCTATTAAATAAAAGCACTGATGATGTTATCTAGTTACCGTATTATGTAAATGAAATGTCTGCAAGAAAACAACCAAGCTCAGAGAGTACACTCATTTCAACCTTGAGTACAAATATTTCCTGTATTGTTATTGAATAATTAGTGGAATTGTTTTGTGTCAGGATGTAATCATGGTTTAAACATCATAGTGCTGGAGTTTCTCAAATTGGTTTAGCCTAGTCCAAACAAACCACATGAAACCTCAGCCTGGGGAACACACTAGTCCTTAAATGTTTATGGAGATTCTCAATTATCCAGGTCATGGTTGTCTCAAAGGTGCTTTTTTCCAAAAAGCAACTGGACTTTCTTGGGTTTTTTTTTTTTTTGCTTCTCAAAAGTTTTCAAAAACAACACCAAAACACCACCAACAAGAAAGTCAATTGCCTTTTGGAGAAAACACTTCTGGGACACTAGTCCTAAACATATGGTATGTATGGATTGAGTTCACTCATCTTGTTTAAGCCAAAATGTGTGTTGCTGCTTTCTGGTTTAAATTTTGTGTGAACCCAGAGATATTCAGCAGGTTCTGACCAGTTCTGGAGAACTGGCAACGGACATTTTGAATAGTTCGGAGAACCAGTAAATACCATTTTTGACTGGCACGCCCCATCTATTCTCTGCCTCCCGAGTCCCAGCTGATCAGCTGAGGGAATGGGGATTTTGCAGCAACCTTCCCTTGGAGTGGGGAGGGAATGGAGATTTTACAGTAACCTTCCCCTGCCAGGGCCACCAAGCCATGCCACGCCCACAGAACCAATAGTAAATTTTTTTGAATCCCACCATTTGTGGGAACCCATCACTAAAATACATTAAATGAAGCCAAATTAAATTATGGCTTAGCATAATGTATGAAGCTTATTAATATTTTAATATGAGTTTTCA